ATCGCCGGAGCCCAGCAGGTCAAGGCTGCGGTGGCCGGTAGTGGCCATTGCACTCCAGTCTGAGCAACAGAGTGAGAGTGGCCGCTGCACTCCAGTCTGAGCAACAGAGTGAGAGTGGCCGCTGCACTCCAGTCTGGGCGACAGAGTGAGACTCTGACTCAAAAAAATAAAATAAAACAAATAAAATAAAACAGTCACTAAATTACTATTTTTAAAATGTTCAAAGTCTCTAATACAGCTACTACTAATAACAACCCACAAAAGCTCTTTGTATTCTCAACAAATTTTAAGAACGAAAAAGAGGTCCTAAAAACCAAATCTTTGTGAAATGACTTAAGTAATAAGCAGCCCTTTCACTTCCCCCCCCAAAAAAGAGGGCATTCTTCAATGTGGTCAAAAATTTTATCTGTAGATTAATACTGACATAGGGCAGTAGGTCCTATGGAACTACACTAAGCTTCTTTACAGTAGGATAATTCAAATAATTCACAAAAATATACTCAAAGAAAACATGACAGAAGCATCTTACAAGCACCACTACACATATAGGTCAAATCCGTCTACTGCTCCATATAATCACTAGAAGTTGCTTGGCCTAGGGTTGTATTATAATGAATATTCTATAAAAGAACTAGATTTTCAGCGCTTACAGTTTTGTCCTTAAGAATTTTTTGGCATATGGCACTCTGTGTGACTAACTATTCTATGTTTGCTTTCCCCATGTCTGATTTTAAAGATAATGCCAATTATATTTGCGATATATGTAATCATGTGTAATATAACATAAATAGCTGTGTTTATAGACCAATGGACAGCAATATCAATAAAAGTTATTTGTTCCAAGTATTTTGAGTCAGTTTTATAATATGTAAAGCATTTTTCCCATAACAAAAATAATTACCAGACCTTTCCCATCAATCCAACCTCTTCCTCCCTTGGACCAATATCAACACACAGTTGACATGAGCAGTGCAAGGAGGCATGCTACCAGTGCCAGCGACCAATACAGCATGTGGAGAGCAGTGGTGTGGACTACCTGAGGGCACTACAGAAAGCCTCGGCAATGGCAGGAAACAGCTTCCCTCTGGAGACCCAGGCAAAGGCACAGATGTCACACAACTTAGATAAACCTAGGGAAACCCAGGTTCACTGCATCAGACATAAAAAGAGGGTCATCATTAACATCAAACCTCAGAAGGTACTTAAGTAGTAAACTTTCCAAAGTTGTTTTAAAATTACTCAATTCCTTCAAGTTGGCAACTTAAAGAAAAATATGTTGGCTCAAAACCCACCTATTCCAAGACCACAGCCCTCTAAAACAATGTCTACGGACTTGATGCTAGCCACATAACTCTCTTAGGTGAGAGTTTATTTTGTTCACACCCTCTCCTGAGTCCCAATTTCCCAG